CTAACACGTTAAAATTCAGAACCCGATGTATTTAGCGCTTAAGAACCTTTGTCATGAGGGAGGGGAGTAGACAGGGCACACGGGAAAAGACAGGACAAGTAGCTTGGGTGATATCACACTCCTGTACCTCTTTGCTTCAGCACATGGGAAGAACGTTTGCAAGTACTCTGACATCCAAGAAAATATATCCTGAGCTTCCCCAAAACCTCATCTCCATAACTCCAAATATTACGGACTGCTTGCTGATCACTAAATCTTTGTCTGCTAGCCAATTCTTCATTACAGGAGTGATGTGAATTAATGACAAAGAGATCACTAACCTATCTGCAGCCCCATAGGGATGTTAACAAAAGGATGATGCCACAGTGGACAGAGATCTTCCTCAGATGCTGTGCTATCACAGAGCCTGAAGTGCTTTTTTGGTCTTGAGGGAAAGAAAAAAAAGTCAAAACCCCAGGTGAAATGGTTTTTATACTTAATTACCCTTTATACCTCTTTTCAATATTAAATATTTCAAAGGAAGATGAATGAGACCCAGGGACAGTTATTTCTAGATTAAAAAAATTATACTTACTCCTGTCAGTCAGTGACTAAATGCTCACTGCTGTTTTAATATAAAAGGTGACAATGGTGGTCTTCTGCCACAACCTGCACTTTCGGCTCTGACATCCTGTATTAAGGAGTTGCACGTGCATTACCTTTCAGTTGAGTTGAGTACCTCACTACAAGGACATGGAGGTGCTGGCGCGTGTTCAGGGAAGGGCAATGAAGCTGCTGAAGGGGTTGGAGCACAAGTGTGATGAGGAGCAGCTGAGGGAACTGGGATTGTTTAGCCTGGAGAAAAGGAGGCTGAGGGAAGACCTTCTTGCTCTGTACAACCACCTGAAAGGAGGGTTTAGATTGGCTATTAGGAATAATTTATTTCCTGAAAGGGTTCTCAGGCATTGGAAGGGGTTGTGCAGGGCAGTGGTGGAGTCCCCATCCCTGGAGGTGCTCAAGAGTCACCTAGACATAGTGCTGAGGGACATGGGTTAGTCGGGGACTTGTCAGTGTGAGGTTAATGATTGGACTAGATTATATTAAAAGTCTTTTCCAATCTGGGCAATTCTGTGAGTGTTTAAAGATTTTTGGATATCATCTCTCGTGCAAATGAGTGCTCCTCTAGCCTCTGCCATCTCTTACATTGCCAATTATTCTGTAAAGCTTCCCTCTCTGCCAGCAAAGTAATTCAGCTTTCCAAAGTTTGTGCCATGTGAGTAACTGCTGTCCATCACTTTAATTTTCTGTTGCTACAGCTGAAGCAACCTTAGAAGGACACAGACAGAACGTGAATGTTACCAAGATCACACATTTCTGTGTCTCTTATTTTGAAATGTTCTACAAGCCAATGATAGCAGTTTTGAGTCAGAGTGGACAGTTAATTTAGACACCAACGTGTCAAGCCTACATTTGTCAGAGATTTTTCCGCCTCAACTAAGTGTTTAATTCCATTCAACTGAGGTGTGTTTGAACTTCCTGTTCTTCTTTTAAAGGCGTGTGGCATCTGAAATTGTTTGATTGCAGTCTTGATAATTTCCAAATCTGCATACATTATGCCTCAGTACTACCATGGAACCCACTTGATCTTTCCCTGTGCTACCAACAGCCTCTAACACTACTGTGCATTAACACAAAATATTTCAGCTGGAAGGGACCTTCTAGTCCAACTGCCTGACCACTTCAGGGGTGACCAAAAGTTAAAGCATGTTACTAACAGCATGAACTGCCTTCCAAGTATTGAAACTTCACTGGTAATTCCCACAGTTGATTTCTCAATAATCCCTTATATGAGGGGCACTGACAAACAATTCTTCAGTCTTTTAAGCAGAGTAAAAATTAAATATACTACTAGACAAATAATTATCTTAAGACCTTGTCTTGCCCTATGTTTAATAAATGTTTGGTTCTTTTGAAGACATTTCAGATGGCTTTCAGAAGACCAAAATAATATTTCCGCAGTCTTCCCAGGAATTAGTTTCTTGGAATTAATAAAGTGTATTTATTAACTTCTCATTCTGACTGACTTAGAATGGGTTATTGGAATTCTTTAGCACTTCAACTAATTTGAAGATTCTTCAAAATCCATCAGTGATTCCAGTCAAGTTGATCTGTTCCTCTTAAAAACAAATTGTTCAAAAAACCTCATCTTTCAACTCACTTCTATGTACCACTCAGAGTCAGTCAAAAGTACCAGGTATCCTCCAGTACAGAAGAAAATACAAAGTTTTTCCACATTCTCTATTTACTTGAATCCACCTCTTAAGGCCACAGGCTTCTGTGAGTTTCTTGCCAGAAGAACAGCAGGATTTCCCCAAGATAATTTAAGCAATCCTTATTTTCAATATACAAAAAATTATTACTTTTGTAATTATTTTTGTTTGTAAAATCTCTGCTGAATTTACGATTTTCCATTTTTGTATTTCACTTTCCATACACTTTAAGTTCCTACTGGAACAGTGGGGCTAGAGTTCCACTGTCTTCACAAAAAAAATGGTTCAGTCTTGCTTTGTTAATCTAAAATGCTTTTTTATTATGTTGGCATTGTCTTACATTGACTGCACTATGACATGCTAAAATTTATGCAAAATCCACAGTTTAAGATATGCTTAGATAAAGTATGTTGAATGAAAGATTTCAGTATCTTTATTTCTAGTTCTTTTATATATATATCTATATAACAATCTGGGCAACTGGCTCTAGGTGGTCCTGCCTGGATAACTTCTGGAGGACCCTTCCAACCTCAACCATTCTGTAATATTTATCTACTATATTTGCTTCTATTCATTTTTTTTCTAACTTTTCTCTAAACCCATAAAAATTTGTATCTTTCATGTATTAATCTACACAGAGATTGTCTACCCAATACTCACAGAACACAATCACAATTAAACTTCCACAGTTTGTATAAAAATTCAATTTTAGAAAACCCACTTCTTTAGTACTTCTAACTCAATAGCTGTCTGTTCTTTAAATAAAAAAAAAAAATCAAAACAGTAACTTCTGTTTTAACAAAATCTCCAAAAGCACTAGTACACAGAGACCACTCAAACCAAAGAACTGAAATGGAGAAGTCTCCCAAACTGTACTTGACTTGTTAGTTTGTATTGCTAAGGAAGAACAGGAGCAGTGAAAAATGGCAGAACATGAAGCAATACTGATTACAGCGAGTTGGAAAACAGTATCTTCACATGGGGAACAATGCACAGCGAAGTAAGAGGAGCTTCCCCTTCACTAAATCTTCATAATGTGTAAAACCATTTTAGAACTTTAAAAAGTAAGACTAGTCCCCTTGCAACTCCCACGCAAGTCCCAGAAAATCCACACGAGGTTCATGACATTTACCTGCTGGAGGAACGCAGAAATATTCTGATGGACCTGACTGATTATTAAACACAGCCGCTGATTAAGACATGGCTCTGATTCCCACTGGGATGGAAAGTAGGTGGCAGAAGAGAGATGCAACTGTTACTCAGCATTTACTTACTGGTGAATAATTTTATCTACACAACAGAATCACAGAATGTTGGGGGTTGGAAGGGACCTCTAAAGATCATCTAGTCCAATCCCTCTGCCAGAGCAGGAACCTAAATGAGATCACACAGGAAGGCGTCCAGGCGGGTCTTGAATGTCTCCAGAGAAGGAGACTCCACAGCTTCCCTGGGCAGCCTGTCCCAGTGTCTGTCACCCTCACTGTAAAGAAGTTTTTTCTCACGTTTAAGCAGAACCTCCTGTGTTCCAGCTCACACCCATTGCCCCTTGTCCTACCAACAACACAGCAGCCTTGGGAAATTCTAGTAAAAATTGGCACCATTGCCACATAACAGACCGAACACTGTCAAGGAAAAACCCAACATTTTCATACTCAGGAACTGTGACCAAGTGGACAAATAGAATAACGCAGAACTTTGTATTTACAGAACTGCTTGACAGCTTCTGTACAAGTGTAATACAGAATGTGATACAGCATGAAGCAGCATGGCAGGGGAAAAATCTTTTTATTTTGCTATGTAGATCGATGTAAGAGGAAGAAAAAGGTATAAGGATATAACCAGGGAAAAAAAAGGCAAAATAAATTAAAGAATGAGAAAGAACAGACGAATAAAAAGCCAGACACAACTGATAGTCCTGCTTTTAAGGACAGCAAATTTTGTTTATTCACATTTGTTCCGACCTTTACTACATTTTTTAACTCATTCTGTAAGTCCTTGAGCTTGGGAAGGTACAAAGAGTTCCTCATGGACTCACATGGGGCACATCACAAAAATCCTGGGGCAAAAAGCCATTCCTATCTGAAATTCAGAGTGAAGTTTTTAAAGAAAAATCAGGAAGCTGCAGCAATTAAATACCTGGAGGTAAAAGCTTAAAACTGGATTTTTTTTTTCTTCTAGGTTACTACCTACAAAAGGAGAAAGCTAAGTTTTGATCTATGCTTATTTCTACTGCTTCTGTTTTACCTGAACAATGTTTTTTTTTTACTTTACAAGTGTAGCAAGTAAGATTGTGTGCTAAATCTGTACCACTTCTCATAGAGCCTACCAGAAGCTAGCCCCTTATCAAGCTAAACCAAATTCTTTGTATAAATTCAAATCTAATGATTTGATGGCATTCTGGTAAAAAAGAAGTACTCACAGAGATATGGAATGTTTATCTAAGTTAACTGAATGGTTCAAATTGAATATTTCAAAATTATTTTATGCAGTTTCATTTATAACTGCTTTAATAAAATTAACTTCAAGTTTTAGAGTCTGAGTTACTACAGGCTTTGAAAAACGAGCTTAACTCGCTCTCTTTCTTAAAGATGTGTATTCAACACAAAACATAGGAACTGTTTCAATGAAAAACAAACTGCCTACCAAACAATCTATAGGAATGCTGTTTCCTAGGGGCCAGTTGCTCACCAGCCTGCCTCTGGAAGAAACATCCAACAGCAGGGACATCCTGAGAACATGGACTGAGGGTACTTGGACACTGGAAACACCTGACACTGCAGGTGCAGGGATGGTGTGAGGAGTGTTTTCACCTGAATTGGGCCCTGATGTTGCTCCAACTACTGTTCCAGCTGGGGCAACCCCTACTCCAACCCCATGGGCTCCCTGACCCATGTTCACATGCATCATTTCTCTGCTCTCCAGCCAGGTCACTTCATTCATGCCTGGGAGAACACAAAGAATGCTCACTCTATGTAGGAACCTAAAAGAAAAAGTCTTGATAACATAAAAGGCTTTTCCACCTATGTTTAAATATGCTGATCTTAGGATTAAAATAATAATAATGATTAAAAAATCAAAGCTATATAACAATAATAGTCATTGTCAAAACATTAATTGATTTAAACTTTAAATAGCATTACCAAACTAGGTCTCTAAGATAAACAAATGAAGTACCACATATTTCTTTACAAGACAGTATATTAAAATGGTAGAGACAGATATACGATAAATGCTTGCCCACGTATTTCCCTGCTAAAAACAATCAAAACATGATTTTCAAATCATAAGGCAGCAGTTTCTTTTACAGTTCTTACTCAGCATGATGTGTAGAACCACTAATTCTGTCATACTGCTATGTCTGATTTTATACATTTGTAGATTCTATAATACAGTACAGAAAACTTCTCTATCTGAACTACATCTCATTCTTACACGCTAGCCTGAGGTTTTTTAAAAAATTTGTTAAGCTATTCAAGATTCTAACACAGTTAAATGACATTAAACTTCTCTAACCACATGATAGTTCATTTTGGGGTTTTCATAAAATAAAGTTTTCATGCTCAGATTAAAATGAAGTTCGCAAACTCATTTTTGAAGCATTTAAGTCTTGGCTTGAAACAAGTATAAATGACAACAGCAAAAATCTCTCTCAATAAAATATCAACAAAATCCTCTGCAGGAGTAAACACCTTCCCCTGAACACATACACTTAATGATCTCCACATATATTCTTAATCTACCATAACTGAGGCATTATCAATCTTCTAGCATGTAAATGGATTTTTTTTAAGGCAAGAAAACTATATATATAAAGTCCAAAATATCCCCTACAATCTTAAAAAAAAAAAAAAAATCAAGTACAAGATATGTCTCATTTTTTTATGCTAAACAAGATGTTAAATCAAAACAATAAAAACTGACATATATGGAAAAATATTCGATGAGAACAGAACATGTAGATCTGAAGATGCAGACAAAAGAAACCACAGTCCTCTAGTCCCTCTACAAAATTCTGTATTTTTAATCTAGCCTTATTGACTACTGAACAGCCAATCTTTAGGGAGATATTTAATATATAGATATCTATATGTTAGGAGGATTTTTTTTAATAATCTTGAAGAACCTGAGTTTTGTGAGTAACACATAAGATCTAAACCTGCTTTGTCTTGTTACAGTAGGCATTTACTTATTGTTAAAATACCCTACTAACATCAGTTCCATAGCGACATGACTAACCCATCATTGTAGGATCCCCAGAACTAAAGTTCAAGCGATATATAGCGTAATGGAGATAAACAGCAAGATACTTGAAAAATGAGTCAAAACAGGCTTCTTATTTTTAGCTCAGTTACACATATGTAAAGACTTACGGAACTAAACACATCAACCCAGCTTTTAAAAATTCACTTCCTCTTTGAAGAGATCTGTGAACAAGTTCTATATGAAACTTCAGACACAAAGAAAAAAAATGTATACAACTAGTTCCACACATCACTCAAACTCTAAGAGCAAAGTTGTGAACATAGGTCTGACACAATCCTTATTTCCATTAGGATTTACAGGCAGAGAGCTTTATAATCGAAACAAAGACAACCAGACCTATTACCTGGAACTGACAGTTTTGCCAATACCTCAGTAGCACTGATGAAGCAAGAACTGTATGAAAAATTTAAATGGAAAATAGCTAACAAGGGCAGTTAATGACAAAACAAGAGGAAATGGGTTTAAACTGAAAGAGGGCAGGTTTAGATTAGATATTAGGAAGAAGTTCTTCACTGTGAGGGTGGTCAGACACTGGAACAGGTTGCCCAAGGAAGTTGTGGATGCCCCCTCCCTGGAAGTGTTTAAGGCCAGGCTGGATGAGGCTTTGAGCAACCTGGTCTAGTGGAAGGTGTCCCTGCTGATGGCAGGGGGGTTGGAACTGGATGATCTTTAAGGTCCCTTCCAACCCAAACCATTCTATGATTCTATGAAAATTACAAAGTATACACCAGATAACTTAGTCCAATGTACACAAACATATGTTGAAAGGGTGCAGATTGATATTTAGCACAGCCAGTAGAGGACAGAGGATCCTATCACCACTCTGAAGTTTAGTGGAAATAGATGCATACATAGAACAGATAGCAAAAAAGTAACATGTGGATTATTACAGAGACACTTTTGCTACATTTCAGAGTTTTACTTTTCTTTCTCTAACCCTATGATGGTCATCATAACCTCTTCAGACATGTTTCTTCTACATGTCTGTCTACAGCTGTTCTTAAATAGCTGTGTTTAGAAAAAAAAAAATCTGTTAACCAGTAATGACATATAATCTTTAAAGATACTGCTAGAGATGACATCTGGTCTTTATTTGTAAGCTAAACATTTCACATACCAGCTTGAAAAGGCCTTGCCTACTATTCTAAAAGCCACAGCAGGTATTCCGAGTGGAATTCCAACTAAATCTTGCTATAAAGTTTCAGTATGCAAGCTGTTACTATAAAATAAATTTTATACAACTTGTTTGAAATTACACCCAAGCAGCCAGAACTGAATACGTTTGCATGTTCTGATGTGATTTAAAACTCTCTTCTACTATAAGACTACGAAGTGCCCCACACTTCATCACCAGAAGCACTGCATAACTGGTATTTTTTGTTTCAGGAAGAGAAAACAAGCTTTTAAACGAAAGACTTCTTGTCCCATTTCTGAGACAAGAGCCTGAGCATGGGCTTTGTTGACAACACTGGAATGGCTGCACTGTGTGGAAGAGCCAAGACAACAGCTATGCTATGGGTGGGGAAAATCCAAGTTAAACCGGGTAAGCATTTTCAACTAAGTTAATAACTTTCTCATATACCCATATATATAATACAAACTACGAGAAGTATTTATAGAGCATGTTTACTCTACAGTTTTATGTTGTTTCCTTTGTAGAGTTTCTATTAGAAACTTTTTTTTAAAGAAAATACAATGTATTAATGCTTGTTTCACAGGAGATTCCCAACACAGAATTTAACAATCAAGAGAATTTAGGCTTCTTTTTACTGCAATGGACAGTGTTGTTTTTTGGGTTTTTTTTTAATATAATTCCATATTCAGAAAGAAGCATGAAGACACACAAGCAGGAATTCAAACCATCTACTGGATTACTTGCCTCTGTGTATAAAAACTTGGTCTAATCATTTTGGGGTTTTAAAAAACAATGTACAAAAAAAAAGATGCTATCAAGGAGAACACTTTTAGAAAATTCTACATATGCTAATTACTCAATGTACACTCACATATCATTAAATCAAGAGGGGGAAAATATCTAAAAGTGAACTAGAAAGTGCTGTTGAAAATCAGATCTAACTGACAGTATTCACCAAGCTGATGTCCCGTTCACTTGCTTGCCCCAAACGTCTGCAACATCTGGCCCAATGAGAAGACTGCAAAGAAACACTGGAGAGAGCAAATCTTGAGGAAAACATCTACCATTAAGCTTTCAATGTTCCCAATAATCCTACATAGGATTTAATATATACTGTCATAATGAGAAGTGTCTTCTCAAAGACAGGTGAGTCCAACTTTTTCAGCCAACTGCTTCTTGCACTGTTAACTCAATCCTGATACCAGATAAGATTATAATGGCCTCAGCACTGTGCCAATATCCCTAACATAGAAGAAAAACATTAAGTACTATAGAGTGAGACTACAGCAAAAAAGTTCCATTCCCTATTAACGCAGAAAAAGTGCTATTCAAATAACATGGACTTTCCTACGTGCAATATCCACATAATAAACTGCAGAACCTGCATTATCAAGCAGTTTCCCACGTGTATTTGCCTACTAACCATTCTTCTGGGACAAATTCCAAATTTTCAGCTCTCTCAACACTTCAGAAAACTGTCAGGTGATTTAGTGTCATTTCTACATATATAACCCAAACTACACCACCATTAAATTATCATTTCCCTTTTTATTTGAGTTTCCTTCTCCCACCTACCTAACACATTTATATTCACACTGACACAAACTGAGTTGTAGACGAGTGCAAGGTAGACAGTAATTCTCTCAGATTCTCAACAAAACTGTGACTGTTGTTAACATTTGGTTTTAAACCTAGAAGTGACTAAATGTAACAAAACATTATGTTTTATATGTAAAAATGGTAATTTGGAGTAGCAATTATATTTCAAATGCATTCTTATCCCACATGCTTGAGGAGCTACACCATCAACTCATGGTAACTAAACATGCCCGATCTCTCAGTTGAGACACAACAATGGCTTCAGCAAAAGAGAAACTAAAATAGATCAAAAGTATTTCGTTAACATGTAGCATGTTAAGTGACAAACAGTTAGGTGATATAAGAAGTTTTACGGATTCTTGTTTGCCATGACCTATATAGCTCACACACGATTACATTACTCAGAAAAGCATCCCAAAATCAGCTGATATAACCTCTTCGTCGCACCACATAGGAAACACGCTCCACGTTTTGGTGTCGAGCCATCTTGCTTCAAACAGTAAGCCAGAAAAAAACATAAAGCGTCCCGAATATATTAATTTTCTCTCAAGGAATTAAGAGTTTGAGGTTATGAAATAGACGAAAGAGAACAATGCAAAAAAAAAAAAAAAAAAAAACAAACCAAAAAAGAAATCTTTGCAGAATGACTGCCAAGGAGATTAAAGCCCAAGCTGTGAGTTGTGAGCACGACCCACTCGGGGCAGCTGGCATTTCTCTCAACTTTTTATTGTTGTCCGTGCAGACACATCTGAAGAAGAATTAAAACCCAACACTTCATTGTGTGGCATCAAGTACTAAAAGCGTTTGGCCTCCTCGCTCCGCCCTCAGAAAGCAGGCATTATCCTTCAGAGCATTTAAAAAAACAGCACTACAAGTTTTGACGCTTTCAGTACATTTAAACAAAGCCCATTTCACCCAAATCCCGCAACTGCCCCTGGGGTTG